TCTCAGGCCATCAGCAGGAAGCTGGATCAAAAGCAGAAGAGCCAGAACATGACCCAGTGCTCATATGGGGTGCTTGTATTGCAGACGGCAGGTTTACTTGCTATGTGACAATGCTGGCCCTGTTTTATGGGAACTTCCAAATGAAATTTTGAAGTTGTATGCATTGTAGTTTGCATGTAATTCAACTTTCTGCCATACTTACTGATATATATCAGCATTTGATGTAGGACAAATCAGAAAACACAATGGCTTAACAAATAGCCATTTGATTTGCAGTTCAGACTCTGTTATGGGCTGTATTCAGCTGGGCAGTTCCTATGATCAGTCCAGGAGCAGAAATGAGAGTTCAGCCATTTGGGGAACTGATTGAGGCTTCACTTAAGTGTCTGGGGTTTGTGGTGAATCTTGGCTATATATTATCTCTTTTTTCTTTTTTTGACAGGCAGAGTTAGTGAGAGAGAGAGAGACATAGAGAAATGCCTTCCTTCCATTGGTTCACCCCCCAAATGGCTACTATGGCCAGCATGCTGTGCTGATCCAAAGCTAGGAGACAGGCACTTCCTCCTGGTCTCCCTTGTGGGTGCAGGGCCCAAGAACTTGGGCCATCCTCCACTGCCTTCCCAGGCCACAGCCAAGAACTGGACTGGAATAGGAGCAACTGGGTCAGAACCAGCACCCCAACTGAGACTGTCACCTGGAATACCAGTGCCATGGGCGGAGGATTAACCTAGTGAGCCACGGCGCCAGCCTACATACTATCTCTTAAACAGGCAGGCCTCAGGGTTTTTCAGAAGATAACTGTCAGAAAAAGAAAATCTGAGAAGGCAAATACTTTACAAATTGTCTATTTCTGGGGCTGGTTCTGTGACATAGGAAGTAAAGACACCACCTGCAGTGCCAGCATCTCATATGGGTGTCAGTTCATGACTCAGCTGCTCTACTTCTGATCCAGCTCTTTGCTACAGCCTGGGAAAACAGTAGAAGATGGCCCAAGTCCTTTGGCCCCTGCTCCCTTGTGGGAGACCTGAAAGAAGCTCCTGGTTCATATCTTTGGATCTACACAGCTCCAGCCATTGCAGCCATCTGGGGAGTGAACCTGCAGTTCGAAGACCTCTCTTTATTCCTCCTTCTCTCTCTCTCTCTCTCTCTCTCTCTCTCTCTCTCTTCTCTGCCTCTCCTTCTCTCTTTGTGTAACTCTTTCATATAAATAAATATTTTAACAAATTGTCTATTTCTATCACATTTACTGGTATCTCATGGGGTAAATCAATTGAAATGGTGGAATTCATGGTCTTTTTCAAAAAGATTTATTTATTTATTTGAAAGAGTTACACACAGAGAGAGGGAGAGGCAGAGAGAGATAGAGAGCTCTTCCATCTGCTGGTTCACTCCCCAGTTGGCTGCAATGGCCAGAGTTGTGCCAATCCAAAGCCACGATCCAGGAGATTCTTCTGGGTCTTCCACATGGGTACAGGGGCCCAAGGACTTGGGCCATCTTCTACTGCTTTCCCAGGCCATAGCAGAAAGCTGGATCAGAAGTGGGGCAGCTGGGAATCAATCCAGTGCCTATATGGGATGCCAGTCTGCAGGTGGCAGTTTTACCCATTAGGCCACAGTGCCAGCCCCAATCCAGGGTTTTGTGAAGTGAAGGGATGAATACAGGGAAAGGTGCTACTTGGAATCATTACTGGTAAAGTGCACTGCATTAAATATACATTATGTGTATTTGTTAACATTCTTTAGTATAAACTTTAATAACAACATAATGTTTATCTCTGATAACCTTATTCATTTGAGTACTCAACTTTTCTTTTTACTTTTACATTATTATTTTACAAAATTTGTAGATAATGCTTTTGTTAAACCAATGCTAACTTCTGTTTAATCTCTGCCACTTAATATAGGTGGGTGCATTTTCCTATGTATTTCTATTTTTAGAGGTTTATTCCTCCACAGTGAAGCTGATGTTTTCTTGGTTAATGTATTTATTATTCTTTATTTATTCTATTATATCCTTTTTCTCCCCATTGTTCAGTGCAGAAGGAAACCAGAGGGTTTTTTTTTTTTTTTTAAGATTTCATTTATTTATTGAAAGAGTTGCAGAGAGAGAAAGTCTTCTATCTGCTGGCTCACCCTCCAAATTACTGCAAAGGCTGGAGCTCAGCCGATCCAAAGCCAAGACCCAAGAGCTTCTGGGTCTCCCATGCAGGTGCAGTGGCCCAGGGACTTGGACCATGTTCCACTGCTTTCTCAGGACATAGCAGAAAGCTAGATTGTATGTTGAGCAGGCAGGACTTGAACCAGACCCCATATGGAACGCTGGCACTGAAGGCAGCAGCTTTACCCATTATGCCACAGCGTTGGCCTCCCGAGTTTTCTTTGAACTCCTGCCACTCACCTTCTCTCCCAGGTATGATTCTGGGTCCTCCACATGTTTCTAAGAGGAAAGAAAATTAATATATCACCTGTAAGTGTTTTTTTTTTTAATTATTCCCCAGCTTGTCAGTACTCATTTTAGGTGTTTAATGCTAGTTTATTTATTTATTTATTTTTTTAGATTTTTTTTATTTATTTGAAAGTCAGAGTTACAGAGAGGCAGAGGGGGAGAGAGAGAGAGTCTTCCATCTGCTGGTGCACTCCCCAGTTTGCCACAATGGCTGAAGTTTCACTGGTCCAAAGCTAGAAGTGAAGAGCTGCTTCTGGGTCTCCCACATGGGTTCAGGGGCCCAAGGACTTAGGCCATCTCCTACTGAATCCCCAGCCCATAGCATAGAGCTGGATTGGAAGTGAAGCCACTGGGACTTGAACTGGCACCAATATGGGATGCCAGCACTGAAGGCAGTGGCTTTACCTGCTAGCCACAGTGCCAGTCCCAGTATACTAGTTAATTAAAATGGAAAATATGGGGCTGGCTCTGTGGCTCAGTGGGTTAATGCCCTGGTCTAAAGCATCAACTTCTCATATAGGCACCGGTTTGAGACCCGGCTGCTCCACTTCTGCTCCAGCTCTCTACTATGGCCTGGGAAAGCAGTGGAAGATGGCCCAGGTCTTTGGGCCCCTGCACCCATGTGGGAGACCCAGAAGAAGCTCCTGGTTCCTGGCTTCAGATTGGTGCAGTTCCAGCCATTGCAGCCAACTGGGGACTGAACCAGCAGATGGAAGACCTCTCTCTCTCTCTCTGCCTCTCCTCTCTCTGTGTATCTCTGACTTTCAAATAAATAAATAAATCTTTACAAAATTTTAAAATAGAAAAATAAACATAAAATTTGTTCTCACAGAATATACAGAAATGAATTATGAATTTGGCATGATTATGAAACATTACTGTCATCTATAATAATGCAGTTTGGTCTCTTGTCTTTCTGTTGCTATAGCAAAATATATTATTGTTACATGAATTGAGTTGAAACTAAGCACAATATGCTACATTTTTGGGGTCATGTCTGAAACATTCTACACATAGATGATGTACTGAACAGTGTTTTAGTGCTACCTATGAAGTAAACACTTAGCATTCTGCAAGAGGAAGTTACCTAGTGCTGGAACACAAATCAGTTAAGTTTGTTTTCAAATTGTTAGAGTAATGGAGTTCTTAATACCTTTGAGAAGTTGAATTGGATTCTGGAATAGGATAAGGAATGTGTGGAGAAAAGAATCTACTGGAGGCTCATTTATTTTTTTAAGATTATTTATTTGAAAGGTGGACTTGCAGAGATTGGGAGGGACAGGGAGACAAAAGGTGTTATATTCTATCTACTGTTTCATTCCCCAAATGCCCACAATGGCTGGGACTGGGCCAGGCCAAAGCCAGGAGCCTGGGACTCCATGGGTCTCCCACATTGGTGGAAGGATCCAAATACTCAGGCCATTTTCACTGCTCTTTCAATCAGGTTAGCAGGGAACTAGATTGGAAGTGGAGCAGCAAGGACTCAAGTCCTCTGTTTACATGGGATGCCAGCATTGATGGTGGAGGCTTAGCCTGCTGGATCACAATTCTGGTGACTATTGCAGGTTCTGAAACGAATCTCTAAGCATTTTTCTCAGAGAGTCACAAATGCAGATTGTACTGCAGACATTCCCAGGTTCTCTTTTTGGGCAAAAAATTCCATTGCTTTCATTTAATTATGTATAATGTCATTTCAAATGTTTATCATTTGAATGTTTTGGGCAAGTATTTCCATTGCTTTCACTTTAATTAGGTATAATGTTATTTCAATTGTTTATCACTAGAATAATCATAGACAAGGGCAAAAAGCTAATTTGTATTCTTTGTCTTACCTGTATTTTCTCTCTTACTTAAAAATATTTATTAGCTTGATAGAGAAAAAAGTTGATGGACTGAGAGATAGAGAGCTTTGACACATTAATTCACTTCCTAGATAACCATACCAAACAGGTGGGGCAGGACTGAAGCCAGGATTGGGGAATGGAATCTAGGCCTCCTTCATTGGTGACATCACCATTGCTTCCCCAGGTTTGCATTATCTGGGAGCTAGAAACTACAGCTGGCATTGGAAATCACAGACACTCTGAGGTGGCATCATAAACAACACTAAGCTAAATGTCTGCCCTGTCTTTTAATATATTTTTCCTCTGACATATTGGAAATGATATGCATGGTGTTTTCCTGGAAATTGTTTTCTGTTCATTCCCATCGTAGTTTCACTGATGGTTTCTTGCCTTTTTTCTCAATGCTTCTACATCTCCTTAACATTGCCCAGTCAAGAGTCAGTATTGCCCCTCTTCTAGCCTGCTGTGTAATTCCCCTTGACAGATGTGGCCTTTGTGATTTGAACCTCCTGTTTCCCTCCAGCTTGGGCATGTCTCACAGCCTGTAGATCATGGGTTTGACTCTGTTGAATGCTCCATGTGGCTTTCTAAACACTCAACAAGTCTAATGTGAAACCATATCCTTCCTTTTTTCCTTCATATCCATACACAACTATCAGTGTTTATTTTGTGACAGAGTTAACATGTTGACTGGAAGTGTATTATTATAGGTGATGACAGCATTTGAAGACCTGGCTGTGTACTTTACGTGGGAAGAATGGCAGAAAATGAACAATGCTCAGAAAATCCTGTACAGAGATGTGATGCTGGAGACCTACAGCAGCCTGTTCTCCTTGGGTGAGTGACACCCATCACATGCCCAGTGATAACATTTTCTTGCTATTTGACAAATAAGGGAACACTTTATAATGTTTAATATTGGGCAGGATTAGAAATTGAGTCCATGAATAATCTGAATATCTACCATCTAACAAAAGATTCAAATTGGAACATTTGTTGCATAGCTCCTGAACCAAGCTGTAGTCCTTTAAATAACCCAAGATAGTGATTTTACTAAGTCTTACTTTGTTTCCATTAATAGGGCACTGCATTACCAAACCTGACTTGATCTTCAAGTTGGAGCGAGGAGAAGAGCCATGGATGGTGGATGAATGCTTGAATCAGAGCCTTTCAGGTCAGTCTGCACATAAGAGACAGGGAGGCCAAGGCAGAAAGTGTGCAGATGTTGACTGGTGTTCTTTCCATGAAATTTTCTCAAGCCTTACTCCTGATGACAGCTGGTTTTGTGCATCAGACACAGGCATTTAGAGATACCAGTATCTTCCTAACTTTTGTTCTTAGTGAAGATGTTCTTTGATTAAAAAAAAAAATCCAGTCATTTTCTGATGTTACTAAGGCTTTTATCTAGGTTTGATACATTCCCCCAATTCTAACTTGTCCTTCTCTACACTTTCATACCTTTCCCTTCATGCACTTATTAGTTCCTTCAGTGCTTGTTAATTAGGTAACATACAGAAACTTATTTTTTTTTAAGATTAATTTTTCTGTTTTTTTTTTTTTTTTTTTTTTTTTTTGACAGGCAGAGTGGACAGTGAGAGAGAGAGACAGAGAGAAAGATCTTACTTTTGCCATTGGTTTACCCTCCAATGGCCACCATGGCTGGTGTGCTGTGGCTGGCACACCACGCTGATCCAAAGCCAGGAGCCAGGTGCTTCTCCTGGTCTCCCATGTAGGTGCAGGGCCCAAGGACCTGGGCCATCCTCCACTGCACTCCTGGGCCACAGCAGAGATCTGGCCTGGAAGAGGGGCAACTGGGACAAAATCCAGCACCCCGACCGAGACTAGAACCTGGTGTGCTGGTGCCGCAGCAGAGGATTAGCCTATTGAGCCACCACACCAGCCTGTTTCTGTTTTTTTTTTTTTTTAAGATTTATTTATTTATTTGAAAGTCAGAGAGAGAGAAGAAGGAGAGGCAGAGAGAGAAAGAGGTCTTCCATCCACTGGTTCACTTCCGAATTGGCTGTCGTGGCTGAAGCTGTACTGATCTGAAGCTAGGAGCCAGAAGCTTCTTCCAGGTCTCCCATATGAGTACAGGTGTCCAAGGACTTGGGCCATCTTCTACTGCTTTCCCAGGCCATAGCAGAGTGCTGGATCAGAAGTGGAGCACCTAGGACTTAAACTGGTACGCATAAGTGATGTTGGCACTGCAGGTGGTGGCTTTACCTGCTATGCCACAATGCCAGCCCCCAGAAACTTATTTCTAACTCATTGCTCAGATTGCGTTCCCACTCATGATTTTGCCCAGGCATAGAACTTGCTCAGGACTGAATCAATAAATGTGAACTCTCTCTCTTTCTTAGTCTCTTTCTTTTTTTTCCTCTGTGCCTCTCAAATAAATAAGAAAATTATAGTCTGTTGGAAACATTTGAAGAGTGAGCCTACAGTTGGCAAACCTCTGTTTCAGTCTGTCTTTATCTCTCATTCTGTCTCTCTGACTCTCAAGTAAGTAAATAAGTAAATGTTAAAAGATGGTCATGTGGCTGGCGCTGTGGCACAGTGAATTAACACCCTAGCATGAAGCACCAGCATCCCATATGGGCACCAGTTTGGGACCCAGTTGCTCCACTTCCAATCCAGCTCTCGGCTATGGCCTGGGAAAGCAGTAGAAGATGGTCCAAGTCCTTGGTCCCCTGCACCTGAGGGAGACCCAAAAGCAGCTCCTGGCTCCTGGCTTCAGATCAGCACAGTTCTGGCCATTGTGGCCAACTGGGGAGTGAACCATTGGTTGGAAGACCTTACTCTCTCTTTGCCTCTCCTCTCTCTGTGTAACTCTGACTTTCAAATAAATAAATAAATCTTTAAAAATAAAAGATGGTCATGAGTAAGCCTCTGTGCTGTGACATCAGAAATTATGAAGCTAGGAATGACACTGTGGTGCAGTGTGTTAAAGCTCCAGCCTGCAACACTAGCATTGCATATTGGTGCCAGTTCAAGTCTCAGCTGGTCCCCTTCTAATCCAGCTCTCTGCTAATGCACCTGAGAAAAGAGCAGAGGTTGGCCCAAGTCTTTGGCCCCCTGTACCCATGTGGGAGACAAGAAAGACACTCTGGCTCCTAACTTCATTTTGGCCCAGCATTGGTTGTTGTGCCCATATGGGTAGTGAACCAGCAGATGGAAGACTTCTCTGTGTCTCTCTCTCTATAATTCTAGCTTTCAAATAAATAAAGTAAATCTTTGAAAAAAAGAAATCCTAAACTAAGCATTAACTTACATAAAACATGAAAATAAGTGATCCTAGACTCACCAAGAAAATAATGAGATTTTGAGACCCAAGGTCAAGTAGCCTCATGGGGTTATGTTGAGTGACTCAGATTTCTTTAAGGGTGGAGTTTGAAGTATGATTTCTCTCTTATTTTCAGTATCATTGAAAATAAGCCAATAAAAAGATAAGAAAAGCATAGGAAATGAAGCTTTCAGTGAAAATAGGAGGCAACTGATCAAAAGCCTCCAGAAATTCAAATTATCACACAGGAATGTTTCTAGAAAGAATTTAGAGGAGGTAACCAGTACTGATGATTTCAGAATGAGTTAGAAAACACTTTTCAAAGAAGATGAGCACATCCCAGTTTGCAGAAACAAATTCTTCAAATTGATTGGGAGTGTTTAACTAAAGTGGTATATTGGGAATTTTCTGTACCTGTTGTACTTCTGAGAAGCTGAAGGTGTTGGGTGTCCTTAGGAATTTGGGGAAGCTGTCATAGAGTAGAGACAAAGTAGTTTTTCATTTGAAAAATCCCACAAATGATGTTTACCTAGGAAGACTGAGCATGAGACACTCATAGATTCAAATCCTACTCCTTAAATGTTGTCCTGCTTAAAGTACAGGCACATTTCACTCTTCTCCACCTGCAAGTAAATGATTAGTGAAACTTTTTCATGTTTATGGTTGAGATATCAGAAAAGCAAAAAGCACACAATTTTTATAAAAATAAACTGGAGAAAAAGCACAGGGGAAAAAATGGTTGCTAGGTAGTGGGTGAATATTTTTATTAAATATTTGCCCATTCTTTAAAATATTTTATATTTATTTCATCTTTGTGAAAGGCAGAGTGATAGTGAGAGAAGAGAGAGAAAGAGGTCCTCTATTAGCTCTCACTTCCCAGATGCCTGCAACACTTAGGTCTAACTAGTCTGAAGCCAAAACTCTAGAATCCCTCTAGTCTTCCCTGGTTTCTCACAGGTTCCCAGGCACATGAACCATTATCTGCTTCCTTCCAGTTTACATAGGCAGAGAGCTGTACTGAAAGCAGAGTAGCCAGGGCTCAAACTGACACTGTTTTGAGATGCAGGCATCCCACACATCATAGCACAAAAGTCATTCTACCATCCTTGACAAATTCCCATAGTAAAAAGGATCATGTTTGAACATTGGGAAACCTCATGGTATATTAATGTATTAAGGAAAAAAACCATATAATGGTCACAAATAAGTACCTCATACTGATTTTGTGAAAATCTTATGCCACTTGGATAACAAGTAACTTCATTCCCTTTACATGAGTATGGCAGGAGAAACAGTTACATGTGATTCAGTGACATGATTGCTTTTTTCTCATTTCAGTGGTCATGAAAAGGGATGACCTGATTAGGATCAACCAGGAAAGTCAGGACAAAAATCTGAATCAGGATTTTATGAAAAATAACAAGATATCAGCTCTCAAGAGAATTGAATTAAGAAGAACACTTAGTTTAAATTCAAGCCATGTTCCAACACTGATTATTAAAAAGGGAATCTATTCAGGATTGAAGCCTGAGGAATGCAATAAATGTCACACTGTGTATCCTCCCAGTGGGCCTGATCAACTACAGGCTGGAGAGAAATTTGATAACACTAAGATACCTGGAAAATCTCTCCAGTTCTGTGAGCCTCTTAGCCAGCTTGACAATATTCACATCATGAAGCAGCCATTTGGACCCACTGGACAAGCAAAAGTCTTCACAAGAAAGATGTTCTGTAAATCTGAGAGGGTTCATATGGCAGAAAACTGTAATAAGTCAACTGTCACTTTTGGAAAAGCAACGCAAATAGAAAAAGCTATCCATGAAAATTCTAGCCTCAATATGCATCAACAAACTCACACAAGAAAGAAATTTTATAAGTACATTATGTATGTTGAACCTGTCATTCACCAGTCACATCTTACAATAAACCAGAGACTAAATACAAGGGAAAAACTTTACACATGTAAACCTTGTGGAAAATCACTCAGTTTTAATTCACCTTCTGAATGTAATGACTGTGGAAAAGCCTTTAGACAAAATTCAGTCCTCAGGAAACATCAGCAAATTCACACAGGGGAGAAACCTCATGAATGTAGTGACTGTAGAAAAGCCTTTACACAAAAGTCATACCTCATAAACCATCAGCGAATTCACACAGGAGAGAAACTTTATAAATGCCTTGAATGTGAAAAAGGCTTTCTGTGGAAGTCAGACCTCATCATACACCAGCGAATTCATACAGGGGAGAAACCTCATAAATGTAATGACTGTGGAAAAGCATTTGGATACAAGTCAGCCCTCCTCATACACCAGCGAATTCACACAGGGGAGAAACCTCATAAATGTAATGACTGTGGAAAAGCCTTTGGACAAAAGTCACACCTCATCATACACCAGCGAACTCACACAGGGGAGAAACCTCATAAATGTAATGACTGTGGAAAAACCTTTGGACAAAAGTCACACCTCATCATACACCAGCGAATTCACACAGGGGAGAAACCTTATGAATGTAATGACTGTGGAAAAGCCTTTGGACGAAAGTCAAGCCTCATAATACACCAGCGAATTCTCACAGAGGAGAAACCTCATAAATGTAATGACTGTGGAAAAGCGTTTGGATACAAGTCAGCCCTCCTCATACACCAGCAAATTCACACAGGGGAGAAACCTCATAAATGTAATGACTGTGGAAAAGCCTTTGGACAAAAGTCACACCTCATCATACATCAGAAAATTCACACAGGGGAGAAACCTCATAAATGTTATGACTGTGGAAAAGCCTTTGGACACAAGTCAGGCCTTAGGAAACATCAGCGAATTCACACAGGAGAGAAACCTCATAAATGTAATGACTGTGGAAAAGCCTTTGGACAGAAGTCAACCCTCCTCATACATCAGCGAATTCACACAGGAGAGAAACCTCATAAATGTAATGACTGTGGAAAAGCCTTTGGACAAAAGTCACACCTCATCATACATCAGAAAATTCACACAGGGGAGAAACCTCATAAATGTTATGACTGTGGAAAAGCCTTTGGACACAAGTCAGGCCTTAGGAAACATCAGCAAATTCACACAGGAGAGAAACCTCATAAATGTAATGACTGTGGAAAAGCCTTTGGACAAAAGTCAGACCTCATCATACACCAGCGAATTCACACAGGGGAGAAACCTCATAAATGTAATGCCTGTGGAAAAGCCTTTGGACAAAAGTCAGGCCTCATAATACACCAGCGAACTCACACAGCTGTGAAACCTCATAAATGTAATGACTGTGGAAAAGCCTTTGGACACAAGTCACACCTCATCATACACCAGCGAATTCACACAGGGGAGAAACCTCATAAATGTAATGCCTGTGGAAAAGCCTTTGGACACAAGTCAGGCCTCAGGAAACATCAGCGAATTCACACAGGGGAGAAACCTCATAAATGTAATGCCTGTGGAAAAGCCTTTGGACACAAGTCAGGCCTCATCATACACCAGTGAATTCACACAGGTCAGAAACCTCATAAATGTAATGACTGTGGAAAAGCCTTTGGACAAAAGACTAACCTCATATCACAGCAGAGAATTCACACAGGATAGAAAACTCAATTGTAGTAACTGAGGAAAGCATTTAGCCATAAGTCAACCTTCATCATGCATCAGAGAATTCACACAAGGCACAAACCTTATGAATGTAATGACTGGAAAAGCCTTTGGACAAAAGTCAAACCTGAATGCACCAGAGAATGCACACAGTATTGAAACTTCATGAGTGTAATGACTGTGGAAAAACTTAAGTTCCAACTCCAAATGCATCAGAGTATTCACACAGGGAAATAACCTTATAAATGTAATGACTGCAGAAAAGCCTTTTTCTATAAGTTATACTCATATCAAAACAGTTCACACAGGGCAGAAACCTTATGAATCTAGTAAGTGTGGAAAAGCCTTTATAAATCATATGTTATAAATCATAGCTCATATCACACCACAGAATTCACACCAGGGAGAGACTTCATGAATGCAATGACTGTAGAAAAGCCCTTGGCAATAAGTTACATCTCAGAATGCATCAGAAAATGCACAGGAAGAGAAACCTTTTGGACATAATGACTTGGAAAGCTTTTCCCCATAATTCAGCCCTCATTGCACATCATCTAATTCATATGGGGGAAAACACTTCGGATATAATGCATATGGAAAAGCCTTTATCCATAAGTAACACCTCATAAAACATCAGAATTCACATGGGGGAGAAACCTTATGAATGGAATGAATGTTGGAAAACTCTGCCAAAATCACACAATATAACATCAGAGAATTTATTACATGGTGGAAATCTTGTAATAAATGTGGGAAAGCCTTTTGTCAGAAGGAATACCTCATAACATGTAGATCAAACAAGGGAGAGAACTTAAGAATATAATGAATGTGAAGGACTTTTTGCAAAATCAACATAACCATGTGATAGAGCCTTTTGCTGGAAATTACATCCCATACAATAGGCACTCCCATAAGGAAGAAAGGTTGGGACCAGCGCTGTGGCACAGTAGGTTAAAGCCCTGGCCTGAAATGCCTGCATACCACGTGGGCACTGGTTCTAGTCCCAGTTGCTCCTCTTCTGATCCAGCTCTCTGCTATGGCCTGAGAAAGCAGTAAAAGATGGCCCTGCACCCACATGGGAGACCCAGAAGAAGCTCCTGACTCCTGGCTTTGGATCGCTGCAGCTCTAGCCATTGCATCCATCTGGGGAGTGAACTAGCAGATGGAAGACCTCTTTCTGCTTCTCTGTCTCTCTCTAACTCTGTCTTTCAAATAAAAAAATTGTTAAAAAAATGAAGAAGTTCAGAAATATTATTAGTGTGACAAAAAGCCATTTGTCAGAAATGGCATTATACATCAAAATTCACACAAGGGGTTTCTTAGGAGTGTAATGAATGTGGAAGTATATTTTCATAGAATTCAGGCTTGCATAAATATAGGTGCCAGTTCTAGTCCCAGCTGCCCCTCTTCAATCCAGCTCTTTACTGTGGTCTGGGAAAGCAGTAGAAGACAGCCCAAGTGCTTGGGCCTCTGCACCCACATGGAAGACCAGGAAGAAGCACCTGGCTCCTGGCTTCAGATCAGTGCAGCTCTGGCCATTGTGGCCATTTGAGGAGTGAACCAACAGAAGGAAGAATTTATCTCTGTCTCTCACTGTCTGTAACTCTACCTGTCAAATAAATAAAAATCTTTAAAAAAAAAAAACAAGAAATTAAACATCAACTAACAGAGAATTCATACAGTAAAATTTCTTTTTTTTTAAAACTTTTATTTAATGCATATAAATTTCCAAAGTACGACTTATGGATTACAATGGCTTCCCCCCCATACCGTCCCTCCCACCCACAACCCTCCCCTTTCCCACTCCCTCTCCCCTTCCATTCACATCAAGATTCATTTTTGATTATCTTAATATACAGAAGATCAGCTTAGTATACATCAAGTATGGATTTCAACAGTTTGCTCCCACACAGAAACATAAAGTGAAAAATAATAGATGATTTTTTTTAAATGATGATGAAATCAGAGCAGACCTATTGTCATGTTTAATCCCAGTGAGAGTCAAGTTGGGAATTGATAATTTCATACAGTAAAATTTCAATTTAATGCATGTGAAAAATTTTTTCTGCCATTAATCAATTCACATGAAGAGACTCCAAGATGAGAAAACATACATGCATAGAAAAGTCATGTACCATGGCCATGGTGATTTCACTTTTATTGTAAGATCATCATCACCCCCAACATTCTGTAAGTTGCCCTGGAAACTGTCAGGTACACAGTGTATCAGGGCCATTTTAGCCAAGGGTAATAATTCTTTCTTCTCAATGTAGTATATATATATATATATATATATGAATATATGTAACATATAACATACATATATTTTATACATAGATAAATTTGCCACTGTGTGTCTAGATACTAATATATTTCCTGAAAATTATGCGGGAAAATAGTGGGATCTTAATGTGATTTTTATCCCAGAATTATGTGTGTGTGTTTAATTTTAGAGGTTGGTAGACTTGGAGACACAGAAAAACAGAGATTATGAGCTACAACTTGGTGGCTTACTCTTCATTCTTGTAATGATCAGAAACTGGATTATTACAGAAAGCTGAGCTATTCTTTTCTGATGATAAATACATTATAAAAATTTCAAAAGGTTGCTCTATATATTTATATTACAAATTATATGTACATTTATATTGTAATGTCATAAATTAAACACACACACATATATATTATATATATAAACACCTTTAAAATTCTTCTTGTTATTGGTATAAATATTTTGAATTTTAAATATTTACTTTTAAAATTTTATTTAATATAAGTTTGATATATTTCATATATACAGACTAATGAATGTAAGTGACATGTCCCCTGATACCCTCCCTCCCACACACACTCCAACCCTTTCTCCTCTTCCCTCTCACATTCCCACTTAACTTTTACAAAATCTGTTTTCAGTTTACTTAATGATTATATAGTTAACCCTACACTAAGTAAGAGTTCAACAAGTCAGCAAATAGTATGAAGCAAAAAAATAAATTAAAAAAAAAATCACTGTTCCTCAATGGAAGAGACAAGGGCTCTAAACAATCATCAAATCTCAAAATGTGTATCTAACTCCAATACATTACATTTTAGGTACTCTATTAGCTACCTCAGATCAGGGAAAACATAGGATATAAGTATAATGGTTTCCAGTTTCATCTATCTTGTTGCAAAAGACAGGGTTTCTTTTTCTTTCTTTCTTTTTTAATAACTGAGTAGTATGCCATAGTGTGTATATACCATAATTTTCTTATCAAGTCAACAATTGATTGATATCTGGATTGTTCCCAGATCTCAGCTATTGTGAATTGTGCTGCAATGAACATGGGGTTACAGATAACTCTTGCATATGCTAATTTCTTTTCATTTGGGTAAATTCCATGGAGTGGGGTGGCTGGGTCAAATGGTAGGCCTATGATCAGATTTGCAAGATATCTCCATACAGTCTTTCACAGTGGCTTGCACCAGTTTACATTCCCACCAACAGTGGACCAGGGTAACTTTTTTCCACATCCTCATCAGTTTTGTCATTTGTTGATTTATTTTATTTATTTATTTATTTATTTTTGACAGGGAGAGTTAGGCAGTGTGAGAGAGAGAGAGACAGAGAGAAAGCCTTCCTTCCATTGGTTCACCCCCCAAATGGCCACTACGGCTGGCGCGCTGCAGCCAGCATGCTGTGCTGATCTGAAACCAGGAGCCAGGTGCTTCCTCCTGGTCTCCCATGTGGGTGCTATTCTTTCTTCCCTATTTCTGACTCTTAAAACTGTTCCAAATTATGGGATTTGATTCAATGCACCAGGTCTTAAATTTAAGGTTTTATTTCTGACTTTTGAACAACCAAAGAGACAGATTCTGTGTTATTTTAAAGTAATATACTATGCTCTCTTACTGCCTCTTAAGTTCTAATTTTTTAAAACAACTGAGTTTTAAATGAGTTATGATTTGATCAAATCTGGTCCTTGGGCTAGATGGTGAAAGTGACATCTTAAGTATTAACATATTTATATATATATATGATTAAGTTTAAAAGTGACTGTATTTGATTGCATTAAGTTTTAAGTTGATCATGTAGGAGGCATTGTTAAAGTGATCATATCAATAGAATTAAAGAGTAGTAAACATGGGAAGTAGTCCATACAGCAGACTCATAGAATGGCAATTGCTCTAAGTAACGCTCAATGACCTCAGAGTCATCCCTAAAGGCATTCTGGTCTGGCTAAAAAGCCCACAAGAGCATTTCAGGCATGGAAAGTCAGGACACTTGTGCAAAAAGGTGTGCCTACATGGAGAGTCTCCCTGGGTGAGACTCCTGTGGAAAGAAGTGGTCATCAAAGAAGGATGTACTCTCTTCAAAGGGAGAACTTTCACTTTGCTTACGGCCTTCTCTAAATATTGATGGAGTTTGTGGATTCAGAAGGCTTCCATAGCCTAGACAGTTCATGTCAAGAGCCTTGGGTGATCACTGACAGCACACAAAAGAGTGTAAATTGTGAAATTAACCATAGGAGTCACTGCACTAATTTCCCATGCAGGGCCTTAAGACTATGCTTAAAAAACAGAGGGGAGAGTACGGTACCCCCACTATGAGTGTATTAACTTTGCTCCTTTCACCGTAAAGTTCTTACTGGTCTCACCCCCTGGAGAGCCACCAGCAGTGAGACACTGGAGACCTTTCACAGGTGCAACCCAATTGCCTCTGGTTTGATGGAGGGACCCAACCACCCAACAATGGAAGGGGCCTGATCCCCTCATAATGATGGGCAAAGGTTTTGCTTGTGCTTTCCAGAGATCACTCTGCAGCCTTTGTGGAGGGCAGCCTGAAATGCCAAACCCTGGACTCAGTCTCTGAAAGCTGACCCTCTACAAACCAACTTCAGCACCTTTCCCTGAACAAGCCATTCATAGAAAGATCCTCTTCAGATGGGCTACAGCTTAAATGGAAGGGACCTTTCCAGGTGCTACTGAACATGACTACCTCAGTAAAATTAGGATTGTCTGCCTCTCAAGTCCTCACAGGTGTACTCAAAAGACATGCCTGATTATTCCTGTAAGCCAGAGATCTTAAGCAAAAAGAAAAGTAAAGCCTTTGCTTTCCTCACATCAAGAGTGCTGCACCTGAAGGCAAGCATGGTGTACCTGCCTCTTTGATTCTCTCTGTTATTAACAATAAAACTCCTAATGTGTTCTTCTAATATAATTCTCTATACTCAAGCTAAATGGGTTTATGTATCACCACCCACTATCTGGGAGTCTGTAGGATGTGGTCTTTTCATCTTAAAGGGGCACTCCACTTACAATTGGTCATGTTCCAGTTTTGCTCATATGAATTTACAAACTTATATGTTCCAGAACTCAACAACTTCTGGGAGTCACTGACCATGCAGGGGACACAGACATTGGTGGTGACCAAGATTGCTCCAGTTCACAGAATTTGTTAGATGAGATAGGCAGAGACTTCCAGACTGAGGACAGGCAGGGCCTGCACTACATCCCTCATAAACAGGAAGCAGCTATAGAAGATGTGATGATTCTACACCCTTCAACATCCCTAGGATTAAAGGAATGGAGTCTCTGAAGGGGGATGATGCAGGCAGTCATATATCATTAGACTTGAGAACTGGAAGGCTACACCTTCATCACACTGTCCTCAGCCGCTGTGTGATCTCATGCCCCTGCTTTCCCATACCTGTGCACCGCCTGCCAATTACAAAGGCCTGAAACATGGTGGGCCTGGCCTTTTTCCCTTTGCCCTTCTTTTCCTCCCTGCCCTTAATCACCATGCTAGGCGTTCTTCAATTTAATTTAAAGCTTATTGTGGGCTGTGGCTTGTTGCTGTGCCACACTAACCAGAGTCACACTTGCCCTAAAACAAAGGGGAGAGATGTGGGTGATCCTGTGAGACTTTCTGCCTAGCCCATGTGGCTAGCCTGACTGATAGTAGGAGGTGGGAACCTCAGGCACATTTTCTCCCACCCCCACCTTCTGCCAATTAAGTAAACTGTTTCTGGGGTGGTCCAGGCCCACATGGAAAGCTACCCTAACTATGAGACCTTCAAGCTAATTGGAGATGCATATTGGTGCCAGTGTTGGTTCTATCCTATAGAGTTAGGGTTGCCCTGAATTAGTTATGCCCCTTCTGCCTGCCCTTTGAAAATGTACATGGTCATTAATAAAGGTGGACATGTTCACTGAAGCCTGTCCCCAGTGCTTCCTGTGGAAGAA